GCTCTAGCGGACACAGGGGAAGCTTCTAGCAGCTCCTCACAGAAGCCACCCCTGTAGGCCGCCCCCCCTTGCCATGCAAACCCAATACACTCCAAAACTCTTTTGTTGAAAAATTGTTTTTTCGCACATTGAAAGCTGTAATTTATCTTTACCATACTTTCTGGTAGATAAAACTATAACCCAGTAATTTCCATTAGATTAGAATAAAACATCACAGACAGCCAGACCTTATAATGCCATTTGTTAAAACACAGGTATTTTCAGAGAACAGCCTTTCTATAGTCATGTGAACTTCAAAAAAACCAGTTGCACAGATTTTAAGTCTTAAAAGTCTTAAATCAATCTTATTAAAGGTAACGGTCACAACACTGGTGATCACATAAACTAAAAATCAAGGAACCACTTACTTTGTAGGACTTTTTTTTTAAAGTTGTATTGTAAAGAGATGAAACGGTGAATAATTACATCATGTGTTTTTATGCTGCTAGTCTTAAAAAGCTTATAACTAAAGCAAGTAGCGTATTTAGTATTTTGAACACTTACTAGTAGTTTTGTGACAGTATCTTCATACTTGTCTTCTTGCATAGGGCAAATTGTGTGGATGAAAGGTAGGAAAGCTTCTGCGTAATCAAACAAATATAGGTATAACAAACTGAGTCTTGGAGAACTCTTCAGTGCATACAGAAGAAAGAGTGATTTTCCTGGATTTACTGCCTGAAAAGTATCAAAGTATCAAGTTTCAAACAATGAAAAAATAAAATGAAAGGGACATGCTAGTTCTTAGATTCTTCTGACTATCATTTTTCAAAGGATCATTTTCCAAATACAACAGTTCATTAAACTGAGCAGTTTTTACAAGGGTAATTCTACTACCTTAACACTGCTCCTGGCTTTAAGAGAATTTTATTTTAAAGATATTATTTTAAAAGTATTTAATATACATGACATACTTTACACAAAGTTTACCTTATATTCCCAAAGGTTCTGTGGTGGTTTAACGCCTAAAGTTTTCACACATTCCAGTTCCGCCATAATAGCTTTTCTATGGTTACTGTTCTCTATACTGTAAGGCTCTTTCGTGAAATCCTCCTCTGTCAGTGTTAGGAGGAGTCTACAAAAGCAGAAGAATTCAGAAGGTAAGCAGTGCCTCTTCACCAAAAAGATATAACTAACAAATTAGCAATTGCATACTGAAACAATAAGCTACTGATAGAAGGTATCACCTTTTGGATTACATTCCATATCAAGTGTTCTGAATCAACTGCATCTCAGAGCCTGGGTTTTAAATATCCTTCTTTTCAAGTTTTCTCTTGCCTGCTTTCAGCATGCAAATTTATCAGCTTGTTGGCTATTATTCAACACAGTTCTTCAGTACTTCACAGATCTAGTCTGGTCTCCTGAAATCAAACCTAGAGCTCTTGGGTGGAATGCAACAATGCATATAGCGTATGCATATTTTCACAAGAAAGAAAAGGTGGGAGGGGTGGATAATACATTAGTAGAATTCTACTTTCAGTATAATTTCAGTCTGCATTGTCAGCATTTAAAAGTTCTTAGAAAATTTGCAGTTAGCTTGCTTAGTATCTACTACTAAAGTTTTCAACTACAAACATTAAAACTTCCCCTGAATTTTTTTCTTATACATCAACAGAATATTCCCACAATCTATGGAACGAAGTATGGTCATTTCACAATATACCGTCCCTAATGAAAGCTATCCAGCAGTCCAAATGATAGCTGTTCTTGACAATTAGGCCTCTCACCTTCCATTCACTTTCTCCAATAAAAATCTTTCTTTATAATGTGAAGCCCATGGGCCCAGCTGCTCTAGCCAAAGTATCACCTCCTCAGCAGTCCATTTAGCAACAGGCTTGTGGACAAGAAGATCTTCTTCAAATTCTCTGCTACTCCAGTGATATCCAAGTAGAACTACCTATAGGTAGATTTAAAAAAAAAAAGTTCATTTACCTGCAAAGCAAATACATTAATGATACAAATAAACACACATTAAGGGGCTTGACATGTAAAATCTTCCATTTTATGGACCCTAGAATATTCAGGTTATAAGAAAGTATCTTGAAGTTTTACCCAATTTGTCTAACTTCTGTTTGCTGCATATTGCAATTGTAGTTCCTGACAGACAACTCTCAATGCTACCTTATTTACTCCGCTCAGCTCAAGTATCTTCTGTGCTGGCGATATTTTTATGTGCATGTAATTTAAGTATATTTGATTGCATGCTTAATGAAGTAAATATGGAAAACCAACCAGATGAAACTTACTGCTACACAAGTTAAAGCTGTTAGAACGCCTGAGAAAAACCCTCCTCCTCGAGGATTT